TGCAACTTGTAATCAATCCATTTTGATGCATGTAAAAATAAGGTAGCATTGTGCAAATAAATAAAAAAATTCACTTTATATAGTTCGTTGTAACAACCAGATTTATTCCCACATTTGTTTGAATTTTGATTACAATGGATATAACATATTCCCTCCAAACCCCCAATTTTGAATTATAACATTCAACCAAAACATGCTCAAACTCTCAGGCTCGGTCATACGAGGACAACTAGTGTGAATATCCATACTACGCACGGCGCTTACATTATTAAAATAAATTAAAAGATTATACCATTTTAATTTGAAAAAAGTTAAAAAAATTATACCAACATAATTAAAATTTAAGATTTGACTAACAATAGTTCAAAATATGACAAAAACTGTAAATCATTCAAGAATTGTGTTTTTGCGAAAGATGAATCCTAAAATGATAATAATAATTTATATTAGAAAATGAATGATATTTGGATAGAAATAAATGTAATTGCATGTTTTATTTGATTTTAAAATGAAATACTTACCAATATTATGCATTCGATTTGATAATCTTGTACAAAGGTGCGAATATTTTTTACACCAATCAACTTTTAGTATGAAAATTAATATTGGTGGTTTAATTAATTCTATTGAATTTTGAAGAATTCGTACTACAAAAAAAGTTCAGCAAGACTTGTATTTTTTTGAAGTGAACTTGCTGAATCTTTTTAAAATATTTCATTGGGATCACTATGGTGTGGGATTCGCTTTGTGATTAGTTATTTTTTTTCTTTGTAATCTTACAGGTTTGAAATTAAGATGCTGTTGAAATCAATAATGGAACCAATGGGGGCTAATGGAGGTCATAGCCCTCCTCCCCAAGTTTTAAAAATTTTAAATTATATAAATATTTGTGTAAAATAAAACTGGTCCTCCAAATTTATTATAATTTTAGTTTATATTATGAGAATATATAAGTATATATATGTACGTGTGTGCGTGAAATAACTACATTTGGGTGGGATCACCATAGTGTAAAATTCATTTTGTGATAAGTTATTTTCTCTTTTGTAATCTTGCAGGTTTGGAACTAAGACGCTATTGAAATTTGTTTGGATAGAGTGTTATTTAAAATATTATTTGAAATAATTATGATAGCACTTTTTGTGATATGATGTATGTGAGATAAAAAAATGGATTGAAAAATGTGTTTATAATATAAGTAAAATATTATTTGAAAAAATCTGCTATCCAAACACTCCCAAACTAATAGGGGCTAATCGGGGCCATAGGTCCCTTCTTTTCAAAGTTTTAAAAATTTTAATTCATATTGTGTAAATATTTGTGTAAAAAAAAGTTAGCCCTCCTAATTTTTTATAATTTTAGTTTATATTATGAAAAAATATATATATGTATATATATGTATGCGTGTGTGTGTGTATGTGTGAATTAACTACCTTTGAATTAATTTTTTATTAAAAATTATTTATTTTTTAATCCCTTTATAATTTGTGAATGATTGTGAGAGTAAAATATATTATGACAATAAGATACGTTGAATTGTGAAAATTGTAATTTAAACAGGCTACTAAATTTTGGATATTTGACTTTCGTAGTTGCGAATTTCTTAAATTAACGGTTAGTTATTACTATCAGTGATATGATAAGTGTTAGTAATAAATGTGAGATGTGAATTGAAATTTGCAGATATCATGTTATAGGGGTGGTTATTATCTGTTAGTTAAAGTTTAGGAGTTCGAATTTTACGGGGTAGTGAAAAAAACGTGCGGGAAATGTGGGAAAAATATGAGCATAATTATAGGATTTGTAGGAGCGGTTACATGATTAGTTAAGAGATAAATATTTTTTAATTATAAAAATGTAAAATTCTATTAAAATAGCATTCAAACTTTTGACAATTTTGGAAGCTCCCTATCCAAAACCCCCTCAGCAATACATATAGATATACTAAATGATAGTTATGGTAGCGAAATAGTGTTTACCTAATATAACATGTTGTTGCACTTTTAGCGATCATTTGATTTATTGTTGGACCTATTCACCTAAATAGAATAATACCTAAAATTATGGAAGGGTTTGTTTGGATTGTGAATTATTAGAGATATTTTTACTGTAGCACTTTTTGTGATGTGATGTATGTGAGATAAAAAGGTAATTGGAAAGATAAAAAGGTGTGTTGAAAATTGTAATGATAATGTAAGCAAATATATTTTGACAAATAAATCGCAATCCAAACAAACCCTTAAGCCTAATAGATTAGTAACTTTTATACCTCAAAAGGTAAATTGGAATAAATATTAAACTTAATTTTTAAATAAGTAGATTACTACTTTATATCCCAAACTTACTTTTAAAAGAGTAAGTTTAGTTCAAATAATAGTAAGTTTTTATACATAAATAGTAATTCTTACTAATAAATAGAAATGTATAAAAGTATTTATCGAAAAAAATTATAAGAATGGAGTACCCATTTTCCTTAAATAAATATTTATTTATCTGACAACATTATATTGAAATGCATTTTTCGATAATAAAACCAGTTCTATATGGCTTTCCCCCATTATAAGTAAAGATTAAACCCATTTTCCGTAGAGGCCCATTCATATATTCAAACGTGTGTTTCAATTTAAAATTTTCAACTCTTTATGGCTTTTCTCTCTTACAACAACATAATACCCAAGGTGCCTTAAAGACACCTTTATGTCTTTATCAGATAAAATGAAAATAATCCCGTTGTTGAATAAAAGACCAGCTCTTTATGTCTTTTGGACCGTTACACGAACAGAGTAGCAAGGTGCCTTAAATAGAAATGTATTTATCGGAAAAAAAAGTATAGTTAAACCCGTTGTCTTATAAACGACCAGCTCTTTATGGCTTTCGTCCATCATACGGTCAGGAGTACCCAATTTTCTTAAATTGGGTACTTCATTTATCGGAAAACATACAAAATAAACACATCGGTGTTTATTAAAAGAACCCCACTTTTCAATGCTTTCGTCCGATTTCGCGCTTCTTCCTTACTACTATGCATACTGTGTTTAGTTTATCCGCCAAGGTTCGCGCCTTTTTTCCCTGCCCTTACTTCAGCGTACGACCCCTTCACTTTGGAAGTTGCCTAATTTAGGCACTCCACATTTTACATTTGCAGTTGTAATCCCCCAACACCCAACAGCCCTCCAGGTTGCAGGTAAAGAAGCCCTTTACAGGTGTCCATCACCCACACTTCTCCTATCATTTGTGGTCACAATCATACCGCAGCAACTTTCCACACCTCTTCTCTGATTCCTAAACATATCGCAGCAACATCCCCCAATGACAATCCTTTTGCATTCGCGTTCGTTAAAACTCGATGAAAACAAGGTTGTATTCTGCTGTTGCTCCATGCCTGCAAAAAAAAAGCTTGATTATCTAGATTTTTGTTTTAAAAAATAAGGACGCTTTCTAGAGGGCATACTTATTCTTGTTTTATTTTTCCTCTTTCTTGTGGTGTGCAACTGTTTTGTTTATTATAATAAGAACGGTTTTTCACCTTGCATTTTTAATGTTTCTTCAATTTATTTAATTTTGCTCCCAACCCAAAAATATTCACCTTGTTTTAGACAATGAGCTAAAAATATTTTTCAGTTGGGGCAACCCAAAAAATCTCTCTAAGCAAATACTTCTAAATATAAGTTACTCAAATGATAGGTAAAAAATGTTGTGGGCCAAATAAAGTCAATTTGCAACTTAATAATGATGTTAGAATTGCTCCATAGTTGATTCTTTTCATCTATTTATTTTTTTCACCAAACTGGTATAACAGCCATGATGCTAAGAATTGTTTCACAATTCAGTGGGAGAACAAACTGTAATTCGAAACAGATTCAAAGCCAATTGTAAGCATTTTCTTTTCCTATTACGAGCATTTGCTCCCACCGTATGACAAGTAGACTCTTGACCCTTAAATTTACAAAGACACTTTCCGTGAGGTGAAATTTTACTTTAAACACTTTGCACGTTTAATACATGCAGGCTAATTTGGTTCAATTACTAACACTATCGATCTTTCAAGTAGTATAAATTCACATGAAACCCTTTACCATGGAATTGATGACAGGAAGTTTTTGCAACTTTGGGTTATCCATGAAATCGAACTGGACGGATTTTGCAGCGCTAGCTCGATGCATTTTTAGTGTATTGAGAAGACTACAATCTCATCTGCTCCCATCAAGGGTGTAGGATGTGGATTTATAGCATACGGCAAAAACTTGTGTAGGCCCGTGAAGAAATTGAACTAGACGGAATTTGCAGCGTAGCTCGATGCTTAGTGTATTGAGAATACGATCTCGTTTGCTCCCGTTGAGGGCGTGGAATGTGGATTTAGACTTTAGAGCATATGACTCGAGAAAATTAATGAAAATTGTTCTTTGAGATTAGGAAATGACAAATAGAATAATAAGAAGTATTTTTTGACTTTAAATGTTTTTTTATGAATTAAATATTATATGAAGGACATTTTAGTCATTTGATTGGATCAAGAAAGGTCTCCGTAATTATTAAAATTTCAGGAGAGTTGAGTGAAATTATCCCTAAAATTTCTTCAATCCGGAGAAAAGTTAAAATGACATATTAAAGAGGTTTCAAAAGGACCTTTCAAAGAATCTTTCAATAGCAAGTAAAAAAAAAAAAAAGAATCTTCCAACAGCTAAATAAATATATCTACAAAATTTGGTACTGTAAATGATTTTTTCAAGAGCACGTTGAAGGATCCGGAGATGGTTCAACAGTACGTAAACTTTCTCAAAACAAGACAAAAGGACGCAGACACAGCAGCACCGTTTGATGGACCATTTGCACAAGACCTAATGAAATGGAGTATAATTCAAAAGGTGTCTCGGATAATACAAAAGACAGATTCCAAGAAGATAAGGAGAATTCAATCAGACCAATGAGAAAGAAGATAAACTGTCGGCAGCCAATAAAATAAAGATAAGACTGTGGACAACAAAAAGTTATTAGTTTGTCAGCGGAGAAGAGCTGCAGGACGAGGGTCCGACCTCAATTTAGCCTCTTTCCCTGTATGCACTTCCCGGGGGATCAATTTAACAGTAAGGCCTAGCCACCGCTGGTATTTTCATGCTGCTAAGTTCTTTCCCCATTAGACGATGAACACATTTTTAAGAGGGTTTTTATTATAATTTTAAAGTGTATTGCATTATTTCATCCACTCAAAATCGGCTTTCTCCGGTGCTCAGTGCATCATTTTGCTGTTTGTCTTTGTGCAGCCCCACAGAACACAGTTGACCTCCTTGCATTGCTGCTGCTGCCGTGGCCAGAAAAGTAATGTGATTTGAAATAGGGTATTATTTGGGATAGGGTATTATTTGAATGAACTTTCCACCTTAATTAGCAGTGTGACAATTGTCTCATCACAATTGGCTTTTTACAAAAGGCCACCAAATCAGCAGATATTTTGAGGGCCCCCGAGTACGGTAATCTTGCTTAGTGATTAACATGTGTATCACGTGATTAAGTTGTATTTGTCAGTTGGAGGAAGTAATTAGTCAGTTTAGATAATTTATGCTGAACTATGTCCAACTGAGATTGAAATGGGAAGAAAAAAAATATCTCATCAGATGCGTCAACCTCCAAATCATTTTGATTGAACAGTAGATTACTTGCCAAATTTTATTTATTTGTATCCCTCCAATTTCTTTCTTTTCCCTTATTTATTTCTTCCAGGTACAAAACAGATAGCACACTAAAATAAATTATTTCGTAGATTAATCCTGGAGAAAGCTACTCCCCTAACATTTTCAAGAAAAAGTGGGCACAATAGGGGAGGAGAATAAACATCGACTTAAAAGAAGAAAAAGCTTTTCATCCATAAAAATCGATGCGTCTGGTGTTTTAGACGCCACAATAGGCCTTCAGTGGATTTGGAGTATTCAAATTATCATCTGTGCTCAAGAATCGGAGATAACCAAAATTGTCCAATGGCTTATATAATAAGGGGTGTTCATCATCAACCAGCTCTGTTGGTGTCTCTACCAATTTCTTGCAATAGGCAAACTGTGCAATCGAATGCCTTTCTTTTCCCTTCATAGTTACTCTATGAAATGGGGAATGCACTCTACCGTTGCTCCACGCCTGCATTTCAAAAATGTATACAATCAATGTATTAATATCCACTAGAGAAGTCAGCATTTACAACAAAAATACTGAAAGTTATGGCACAAATGCCATGCCAATATTCTAGATGATTAAGGTAGTAACATCTGTGAGGCCTTTTTCCTTTTCGTTCTAATTTGACCATAACACATCCAACTTAGATAATGTATGGCGAAGCCATTATTGAATCAAGTTTTCTAATTGAACCAAAGTTTTTTAACTTTGTTTTTTGCTTTTTACATAATGTTGTAGTATTTTAATAAAATAATTAAATGTGCATGTTACAAGGGAAATAAATTATTGAAATTTTCTGAAATTTATAGGTGTTTGAATGGTTTTTCCTGAAGATTTATTATATGAAATTATGACTTTTCAATTACTTCGAGGTATTGTAACTTACAATTCAAATTTGGATTGAATGGGTATTGACCAAAGAATGTGAAATTATGATGTTTCAATTACAATAAGTTTTTTGTAACCTACAATATAAAATTGAATGTGTTTTGAATGGCCAATAATTTCAGCATTTACTTAGTACTTTATTAGGAATATAGGTTATGTTTATATATATATATATATATGCATAGTTGAGATAGAAAAGTTCTACTGCTACAGTTTATGTCTTTTGAGTCTAAATTCATTATTTTCTGTATCATAGTTAGACAAGAAATTAATAAGGCATTTATAAAGGTATACTCTCCTAGTTGTGTAGTCTAAAGAGAGTGTTAGTAATTATGGTTGAAATGGTGTATCTTGGAAATGACAAGTTAGAAAACCTATTGCATTAGAGTTGATTCTTTTATAGAGGCTTGAATCACTTTAAAGAGAAACAAAAATATCCGTGTCTCAACCCTCCACACTTGAGTATTAATATATTGTTATTGTCTAATCTTTCTTTTGCATATTTGTTTTCATTTTAGTTTCAGGTGAAAAACACATAACAATTGTCCCGGTATATTCATGACAAAGGGAAATGATTTGAAAAGGAAAATGGAATTTTAAAACATGGATTTTTAGAGGATTGCAATGTTGTAACTAATCAAGTTTAATATGATCCAGGCTTGCACATTTAATGACAAAAAAAGAAAATATCTCACCGAGAATACATCTCCAGCCATGATTACTACGGAGGAAGGAGGAAAATCAATAGGAATCCAGCTTCCATTCTTCAACTGAACTTCTAAACCATCAGTTTCATTCTGTTGAAGTATGGTTATGAAGTTCTTGTCAGAATGAGGAGGAACGCCGACATTCATCTCATTCTGTTCGGGTACCCTGTACCTTATGAATCTAACATTATAAGTCACTGATCCCACATGAGATTCGTGGTACTTCTCCACACCATAGCTTTCAAACACCAATTTGCTCACCATTTTATCTAATTCTGCTACTTGATTTGCATAGCAATGAAACAGTTCACTAGTCATGGGAGGGCATATTAAAAAAAAAAAAAAAAGGTAAGCATTTCGGATGTGAATAATGCATAGTAGCAATAAACTATAAGAAGAATTACATATTAATGGAAACAAGTTTACCAGAAATGGTTATTTTTGGAGGGCCACATCTGATTTGCGAACTTCTCGACTGCTTCAAGATTTGTTGCATCTTCAATGCACATGCTTTCGTAGAGGTTCACGTTGGGTCTTGGCCGAGCATAACCAGAGAGGGGAGTTTGAGAAGTGTTTTGGACTTTAATCTCCAACGGCAGGTTAAATAAATCTTGCAGCTCAGAGAATAAGGAATCACTAACCTCTGAAGGATACTTATCATGAACAGCTATGAAACAGCCATACTCTTCAAATGCCCGTGTGACAATGTTTCGCGCTTCAGTCCAAGAATCTTTTCCGGATCTTAGGATTTCCTCCGTTAAATTTATGACCGGAAGCCTGATATTTGAAGCGCATTCCATGGTTTTAGGCAGCCTCTTTCCTTATACGCACTTCCCGTAGCTCAATTTAGCCTGATCAATTAGCAATAAGGGGTAGCCAATGCTGGTATTTGAAGAGCCAAGAGGTTAAACAATTCAGAATAATATGGCAAACTAGCTAAGTTCTTTTCCAATTACGTAGTATATTTATAGATGTAAATTCAAGTGAGCTAGGTCTCCTTCTTTCTTCTTTCTTTTTCAAATTTCAACAAGGGAAGTGTACATTAATTAGTACTAATTACAGAGTACGTCAATAACACTAATCAACAAACCAACTACTCTGCTGCTAGAGTAACAGAGTAGTTGGCCGTCAAGAAAGTTTTATTTGATTGTAGGTTAAGGATCAAATTCTTGGTTTACATTCTAATATCCAAATTTTATTAGAAATATTTTGCTAGTGGGTGCCTATGCACTCATCAGGGTCGACGAGTTTCCTTTGATCTTTTTAGATCCCCTCCTCTTAACGTAGAGTACAAATAATTATAGTATAAAATCTATCATATAAAAAAAAGTACAATAATGAGCAGTTTGACAATTGTCTCGTCACAATTGGCTTTTTACTTAAGGTCACAAAATAAGTAGATATTTTGAGAGCTCACAAGGATACTAAACTTGTGTCGTATTTCTTAATGTAGAGTACAAATAATTATAGTATAAAATCTATCATATAAAAAAAGTATAATAATGAGCAGTTTGACAATTGTCTCGTCACAATGGGCTTTTTACCTAAGGCCACAAAATAAGTAGATATTTTGAGAGCTCACAAGGATACAAATCTTATTCAGTGATGAACATGAGTATTTCATGATTAAGTTGTATTTTCTAGTTGGAGAATGCATAATTATTAAACTTGACATGATAAGGAGTCCAGCACAGGAATTGGGTCACTAGTTGAACCTGTGTGTATTAATTTAATAAAGTACTTTTAGATACTAATTATTATATACTTAGAAAAATATATAATAAATATGTAAATATTAATAGAAGAATTAATTTCATTTTACAAGTCTTGTTAAATTTTATCTCCACAATTACATATTTTTAGATAGAGAAAAACATCCCGCTTATTTTACATGATTAGGGAAAAAATTTATTGGTGAAAAAATAAACTATAAAAATATTACTAAAGTTCTATACATTTCAACTTATACAATTGAAGTTGAAAGGAAAATTAGTGAATTTCTTTTTCAATTACGTTACACATTTGTCAGATGTAAATTCAAGCAAAGTAGGTATAATTCTTTCTTTTTCAACAAGGTAAATGTACATTAATCAGCACTAGCAGTTTGATAATTATCTCATCACGGTTGGTTTTTATAGAAGACCACTGAACAAGTAGACATTTTCAAGGCCCTCAAGCATGCTAATCTTGCTTAGTGATTAACGTCTGTATCACATGATTAAATCGCATTTTCTTGTTGCAGGAAGTAGTTGGTCAGTTTGGATAATTTATGCTGAACTATTCCCAACTGAGATTGTAATGGGGAAAAAAAAATATCCCGTCTGTTGCCACAACCTCCAAATACTTTTGTTTGTATAGTAGATTATTTGTCAAAATTTATTTGTTTGTTTCATCAACATATTTTTTAATTATCTTTTATTTCACATACAGCACATTAAAAAAGTACTACAATATTTTTTTCAGAAAATTATTCCAAATAATCAACTATCCAAATACAATTCTTTTTTTTTTTTTTGATAAATAGAACATGCATGATGTTCATCTGAGTTTTGCTGAAAGCAAATGCCTTGATGCACCGCGCCTTAGGGAAAAAGAAAAAAAAGAAGAAAATGTTATTGGACAAAAGGTGCACATGACTTCAATTAACTAAACAAGTTAATCAATCCATTTGTTCAAGATTTTGCATCATTCATCTTGTTCCGGATTGATTTCCAGCTGCATGGTCGGAATTTTAAAAATCGATGCGTCTGGTGTTTTAGACGCCACAATTGGCCACCAGGGGATTTTCATACACGTTTGTAATAATCTCACCCTTTGTTTTTTTTTTTTTTTTTTTTTGATAGTTGTAAAATACTTTTTTTTTTTTTTATTCATGAAAAATATAACCAAATATTCCTCTTACATAATCCTCATTTTTCTGATTGAAGGTATCCCTATTCTGTCCAAACGGATTGCCCCACGAGCCAACCTTGGGAATTTACTGAAAGTATCGTAAACCTCAATTTGTTTATCTGGATGAGATATACCCACATTAGATAAAGCATCAGCAACTGTGTTAGCCTCCCGATAGCAGTGCGTGAATCTAGGTGGATCATCTAATAACTGCCAAATCTGGTTGACGTATCTTCGAATTGTCCACGGACACTGAGTACGACGTTGAATGATCCCAATTAAAACCAATGAATCTGATTGTACACATATGTTTCCAAAACCGTTATGTATACAGATCTGAAGACCAATAAGAAGGGCACAAGCCTCTGCACGGAGACATGTAGTTTCTCCCAGATATGCCGAAAAACCAATCATTGGTAATCCAGTGGAATCCCGGAGTATGCCCCCACCTCCCCCTATTCCTGGATTACCCTTAGCACATCCATCCGTGTTAAGAGTATACCTCCCTGTCTCTTTGGTTTCCCAGCGGATACCTTGATATACAACCGTACCCCCAGGTGCCTTTGACCAATCATACAATTGACAAAAGGATTGTAGTCTTATCAATTGTTTAAAATGTATTCCTACCATGGATTGGATTTCTGAGAAGATGGCTTGGCGAATGGCCGATGATTGCATCTGGACACCCTCAAACATTGCTTTGTTCCTTGCCTTCCAAATCTGCCAGCAAATTACACTAGGAAGAATACGGCAAATAATCCTTCGTAACTCGGAATCCTGTGAATTCAACCACCAATCTACTATGCGTGCTCGTAGAAAAGATCCTGAGAATTTTATTCCACATAACCCTCCAAAATAATTCCAAAGGAATGACGCAATGTGTCCATTGGAGAATAAATGCTCAATAGACTCCTCGGAAGGCTCAGTACAGCAAAAGCACTTTGACGGCAAATGGAAACCAAATTTACGAAGCTTATCCGGTGTCGGTATTCTCCTCAGAAGTAGTCTCAACATGAAAAATGAAACTTTCAAAGGTATCAGAGGGTGCCAAATGGAAGCAAATACCATAGACGTGGGTCGGGTCTGCCTAATCTCACCCTTTGTAATATCACTAATCTCCCATAAAACACCCACTAGCTTCAAGGATGCTTTGAAGGAGATTTCAGGTGACACTAATTTTCCAATTTTCTTTGGTGTTTGGTACATCTTTCCATTTACTAACACAGTTGAAAAAATTATTTTAATAATTACCGTACTACATTTTTTTTTGTGTTGAACATGTTTATGATGCAATAAAAATAATATTCGAAAAAAATTATGTACCCAAACACACCAATGGTCTACAACCAAAATACTTAATAATTTCTAGCATTATTAAATGGGATAGAAGAAAAGTGAAAAACTGACCTACCATAGGTGTAAAAGACAGGACCTCTCCTGTTCAATTTTAGTTTAATCTTACCTACCATAGGTATAAAAGCCCCAGCAGCCCATGTTCCAGTTTCTGCAGAAACAAAAGGAAATGCAATGAAAACATTAAAAAACCTGACTTATAAAATTATTTAAAAAATACTTTAATAATTACCATACTACTTTTTTTGTGTTGTGATTAATGCGAAAAAAGAAGATGGTTGAAAATATAAAAAAGGTTGGAGAATGTGTTTATGATGCAACAAATTTAATATTTAAAATAAATTATGTATCCAAACACACCAATGGTCTACGATCAAGATACTTACTTATTTCTAGCATTATATGCTAATAGCATAAAGTTCAAGTCATCCCAAAACTTATCAGTGAAATATAAGAATTTGAACTCAAAATCAATGATCAAGGTATCTTTTAGTTTTATGATGTGGAATTAGATTCACAAAATTTTGATGATCTAAATATAATTTTACAAATCTAGTGACCCTCATAGGTTCCAAATTGCATTTATAAATTTGGGTTGTAAAGTTTTTAACAGAGGACAGATTCATTATTATAGCTATCTTGATAAACTGATATATTCGTTTACAATCAAAAAAAAAAAAAAGAAAAAAGAAAAAGGCCAGTTTTATAGAGGGGATACACAAATTCTTTTACAATCTAAATTATTAATTTCTTCTGTATTTTCAAAAAAATGATTGCCATTTTTACCAATATATTTGAAACTCTAAGATTATAATTTTTAGTAATTATAAATATACTGATATTTTAGGACACTATATTTTAGTATTAAGTTCTTTTGGTTCTAGAACAGTTTCTTGAGTTTTTTGTACTTTCTTGAATCACATAAATATAGTGGTGTCTCTTTTCTTTATTTATTTTTTGCTTTGTTATTGCTTTTTAGGGTTATGAAGACACTTTTCCTCAATTCCGGGGGACACTTTAAAAGTAATCTAAAGTAACACAACATCTATACAGCAGACGGCACTTTAAAAGAACCAGAAGCCACGAAAGGTAGCTGGAACGTAATGTCATTCCAATCACTTCTAAAAACAGTACCTAAATTACTAGAAATATGCCAATTGTAAAGCCACGAAAGGTAGCTTGCAACGCAAGTTTTTAAATTTTCAGTGTTGTCAATTTACTTGCACCAAAGGAGAAAAACGACAACTAGTGATTGATACTAAGAAAATGGGGAGTGTGAAAGGATTGGATTAGATTTCGTCCAAATGCACATTCTAAACAAGCAATTAAACATTGCAGTGGGTGAAGATAAGTATTCAAGCTTTCTGTTACTTGCACATCATTCATTGGTTGTATCATAGTTTATGAAAAAGATTTGTCAAGTTGTAACCTAATTATTTGTCTTAGTGCTCCGTAATTTTTTTTTATTCCAATGGTGTCCCTTACCAGATTACGTACACGACGTGATCTCTCCGACTTATAAGATTCCACTAAAATAATATTAAAAAATGATAATATTAATCTTTATTATCAGATCAATTTCGATGCATGGGACACTCTCAATTATCTTATCTCCATAGATTTTTTTAATAATCTACAGTCGTTTAGGGCGGCCATTGATCAAATAATATGTTGTAATTGTTGTGACGCTTTTGCATGGATGAATCATTTTTATGTGGTTAATTAAAATTAAAAAAGCCATTACAAATTGACAAATTTTTATAAGCGCCCGTACTTCACTGCTGATTCATATTGAGACCACATCATCTTCTGTTTATCAACTTCACTACTCCAAAATACATTCGAATGGTTAGAACTCTATAACTCAAAACATCCAAGCCAAAGAAATTATTCCCCCATATTTACAGCACTTTTTTGGTGCCACGTTTACACTATTTTCTAGTAGTGTTCACTAGTACGAACAGAGAAAATGGAAGTCCTCAGTTCAGACATAATAAAAGGCATAGAGGCAAGATTTTTTCTTAGTTCCGGGGGCCTGGGGATAATAGAGACAAAGTTTTTGGGCACCGGCATATTTTTTTTTGGACCATGGGCATAAATTACCCAAAAGAATAACTAGTCATTCGTTTGATTTATTCGAATTTGCAGTGAACTAGACCTCCCTCTAGTTAAACAATCAAAGGTTAACTTGTCATCCCTTGCTCTAGTCGTGCCTAAAGCTAGCCTGCAAGTCCAGAGAAGTTGGGATTTAGGCATGATAGTTTCCTAATTCAAGTTGAAAACCTAAAAAGGCATATTTCCAAATTGTATTGGAAAACGATTTGATTTATCTTTTATCAATTTAGGGAATATTTCTTTCATAGGAAATTAGAAGTACTAGTAGTAGTAGTAGTACTTATTTGGAAAAGTAGTAACGTGAGGAGAAGGGACTTTGCTTTTCTTGACTTTAAAAGTTCGTCCGTGGTCCCAAGAGAGGGGATACTACTAGTCTTAGCAGCAAGCAAGAACAACGGAGCGCTTTGCTTTTCGTATTTTCTTTAGTTTTTTTTCTTTTGTCAGGCGCGTATGCGATTTCCTTCAATGAAATTGTGCGGATTGCCTCCCAACGATGAGTGGCTAATTTCTTATTCTAGTCAAGGGTTAACCAAGAATTTTGTTCTCTACTACTATCAGATCTAATTATTTTTATCTGTTTCTTTTATTCGTTAGTATTCGCATGATTTAATTTCGCATACTTGTTTTGTTATTTGAATAGCAAGGGTTTGATATTTAATTCAACCTAACAATCTAGTATTAGTTAAGATAGTTAAATCCGTAATTGTTTAATTCTCTTAAATTAGTGGCGACTAGCGTGATTGGTTTCATATTAGGGAAATATATGATCTAATTTAAATAAACCCTGGTAGTGTGTTTATTGATTAGAATAGGGCTTTTCTAGTTTTTAATGCAATCAAGAAATTAAATTCTATGGGCATATCTAGAGTTGTTTCTTTGTTAGTGGAGTTTCAGAAGATGACTTACGAATAAGGTGCTTCTCTTATTATTTCAAGGATCGTGCAAAGTCTTGGTTACTTCATCTCCTTGAAGGATCTTTGAGGACATGGGAAGATGTTAATAACATCTTTATGACCAAGTACTGCTCTTCTCAGAAGACCATCGATTTAAGGAACAAGATTTGCATATTTTCTCAGATGGAAGGAGAGCTAATACATGAAGCATGGGAGCGCTTTAAGCTACTACATTCTCAATGTCCTCACCACCACTATTCATTGGCATTGCAAGTGTAATTTTTCTATGATGGGTTGACCTTAATAACCCTGAATATGGTGGATATTGCAGCAGGAAGGTATATTGGTGACAAAACCTTGGAGGAATTTGTTAGTCTCTATGAATTGTTAACTAGCAATTCTCAACAAAAACCAATTCGGGATAAGAGAGTAGGAGTGCATGAAGTGAATGTGCCATGGGATTTGGGCAGGTAGTTGAATTGAGTCATCAAATGCAATAACTCTTTAATTGGGTAGCTCAATCTCAAGAATCATGTGCTTATTCTCACATGTATAGGTATTCTGGTGCTAGTTACTATAATAGAGATCCTCTCTCCATGGTAGAAGATGTTAATTCCATGGGGGGCAGAAGTTGAAGCCAAGGAATGATCCTTTTTCCACCACATATATGAAGGATGGAAAAACCATCCTAACTTTTCATGAAAGGATCTATGGATTAGACCTATGGGACCACCTGGGTTTCAAAATTTGCAGCAACTTTCTCAATATCCTTTTCAACCTGCATAGGAGAAAAAGTCCAACCTTGAAGAAATGATGCTGCAATACATGCAAAAGGTGGACCAAAAGATGGACCAGTTTGACAAACTTGCTCAATCTCAACAAGCCTCCATTCAAAATCTTAAAAGGCAAGTTGGTCAACTAGTAAAGGTAGTAACTAAAAGGGCACCAGGGAAATTGCCTAGTAGCACTGAGGTGAACCCAAAAGAAACTACTATGGTTGTGACTCTTCGTTCAGGCAAAGTATTGGATGATCTTGTCATTAAATCCAAGACTAAACCAAGTGCAAAGCATAGGAGGAGCGGAATTGCTATTAAAAGTGAAGAAACTGGGGATTCGGGGAATGGTTCATGTGAAAAAATCAAGGGGAAGATAATCAACGTATGAAGGTGCTTGAGGTGAAAGCTTATGTGCCGCCCATCCCTTTTCTCCAAAGGCTTAAGAAAAAGGCAATTGACGAGCAATATCAAAAGTGTGGATTTGCTCAAGAAACTTCAAGTGAACATGTTTTTTTTTTTAAATTCTTGCTGATATACCTGCTTGTGTAAAGTTCTTGAAAGAAATAGTGTCTAATAAAAAGAAGTTAGAAGACTTTGTAGAGGTGTCTCTTACTGAGGAATGCAGTGCAATGCTACAAAATGGTTTTCCTATCAAGATGAAAGATCCAGAGAGTTTTAATGTACCTTGTCAATTTGAACATATTATTGTTGATAAATGTTTGTGTGACCATGGATATTGTGTTAATTTGATATCTCTATCATTTTTCAGGAAATTAAAGTTTGCCAATTTGGGGCCTATTCAAGTGATTCTACAACTGGCTGATCGTTCAGTGTGTTATCCTATTGGTATTGTTGACGATCTATTAGTTAAAGTTGGTAAATTTTATTTTCCTACTGATCTTCTTGTTCTTGACATGGAGGAGGATATTTG